CGGTGCACTTATTCAGCGTTTTTTATATCTTCAGAGGAAGACAGTGATGCAGAGATAATAGGGGCTGTATCAAAACAACAACAAAATTGTGAAGCAAATGCTACCCCTAGTCTAAAAAATGTATGTGTTCCAGGAGAAAAAAATCTGACTATATTCCATTTGAATGTACGTAAACTCTCTAACAAAATTGACAGACTATCGTTGTTTCTTGAAAATCATTCTTATGACATATTATGTATTTCAGAACATTGGCTAGATGATAGTAGTCTGAAACTTTGTACTTTATCGAATTACGAGTTGGTGGCACATTATTGTAGGACGAAGCACATTCACGGTGGAGTCGCCATTTTCGCAACAACAAAAATCAAATGTAGACCCTTATCACTATCAGAATTTTGTAAAGAAAGAGACATAGAAATATGTGGCATTGAGCTACTTCCTTCGCATATAGCGGTCCTTACTCTATACAGATCTTCTTGCGTTTCAGATTGCACTGACTTTTTTGTAAATTTAGAGCAAATTCTCAGCAAAGTTTCCAGTAAATTTGAAAAAGTTATTTTATTAGGAGATTTCAATATCGACTTTCTCAAATCGTCATTGAATTTGTCGAATCTCATCTGTTTAACAAACTCCTTTGGTTTGGAAGCATCCATATCTCAATATACTAGGATTGATAACGGCTCTAAATCCTGTATAGACAATATCCTCACGAATCTTGATAGGGAAAATTATGAGAGTGACATTATTGATCCTTGCCTCTCTGATCACTATGCCCAATTTATCACTATTAAAAACGCTTCTTGTAAAACTCCCAAACAAAACCTCAGAAAAAAAATAACTCCTGCAGGCATGGAAAAATTCAAAAATGCCTTACAAAATATAAGTTGGGATTTATTCTATAGTTGTAGAACGGCTTCTGGAAAAGCTAAATTTATATTACTTACATGCAAAGAGCTTTCCGAAACTCATTTTCCCTTATCAAAAACACATGGTAAAAAAGGAAACCCCATCAAATGGTTCAACGATGATCTCAGGGATATGAGAAATACATTGCAAATTATCAAAACAATTCGTGACTCCACTAATGATTCAACTTTTAATAATACTTACAAAAAAATGACCAGAGAGTACCAAAACGCAATCGAAACTGCAAAGAAAAAATCCTTCAATACTTTCCTGAATAATTCCTCTAATAAAACAAGAGATAGCTGGAAACTCATCAATTTTGAAAGAAACAAACACACTAGTAATAATGTACCTGAAAATTTATCAGCTGATCATCTTAACAATTACTTTTCGCAGGTGGCAGAAACAGTCATCAGTCAGTTGCCTTTAGATGATGATAATTATTATTATTATGATGGCTCGATTCCTGACCTTCTGAAGCCTAAAGCGCCAGGCTCATTTTTCCTTGAACCGGTAGTTCCTCAAGAGGTAGCAAGTGCTATCCACCAGTTAAAAAATACTTACTGCTTTGACATGTATGAACTCAATAGCAGAATAATCAAAGAAAATTCCTTTTTACTAGTCGATCCTCTTACTGACTTATTTAACACGTGTATTGTGGACGGTATTTTTCCTGATGAGCTGAAACTCACCAAAGTTATACCTATTTTTAAAAAGGGCGATAGAGAAAACCCTGAGAACTATAGGCCAATTTCTATTGTGCCCTACATTGGTAAGATTTTTGAAATAATATTAAAACAAAGGTTGAACAAATATTTCGAGAAACTATTAAGCAATAATCAATTTGGATTCCGACAACAACGATCAACTATTCATGCAATCGCAGTGGTTGTGAGAGAGATAGTCGAGGGCTTCGAACAGGGTAAACTAACAGGCGTAACCTTATGTGACCTCAGTAAGGCTTTCGACTGTGTCTCCCACAACATCCTGGTGAACAAGCTCTCTCAATATGGAGTACGAGGAGTATCATTAAAACTCTTTGAGTCATATCTTCAGAATAGGAGTCAGTGTGTTACTGTCAATGGAGCAAACTCTCAGCTGAATCTGGTTAAAACAGGTGTACCCCAAGGCTCGGTCCTGGGGCCACTTTTATTCATAATTTACACCAATGATTTTTTTTGTCATATGTTGCCTTATCTAGGTATTGCTTTTGCTGATGATAGCTCTCTTATATGCTCTGAAAATAGTTACGAATCGCTATTAACTTCGATGAAAACAGCGGAAAACCTTGCACAAGAATGGTTCAATAGTAATTTACTAAAATTGAATAAAGATAAGACGAAACATTTAATCTTTTCAACAAACAATAAAGTATCTGTAGGCGACCACGCCAAACTTCTAGGATTAACTATTGACGATAGTTTAAGCTGGGAACCACACATTGAAAATACCTGTTCCAAATTGAGCAAACACAATTTCCTTCTGAGAAAACTAAAAGCGTTTGTTGATAAAAATACTCTTCTTTCCGCGTACTTTGCTCTCATCCAATCATATATCAGCTACGGATTGACCCTTTGGGGAAATTCCTCCTACTCTGGAAAAGTGTTCAAGATTCAAAAGCAATCTATTAGAATAATCTGTAGTGCGGGTTACAGAGATTCCTGTCGGCCATTATTTTGCCAACTCAATATCATGCCTTTACCAACTTTGTATATTTATCAGTCTCTGCTCGAGATTCATGAAAATAAAAATAAACTCCTGACTAACTCAAATTACCATGATCATAACACACGCAATGCAAATTTGATCAGGTCTCGAAGATTTAAATACAACAAGTCATTCAAAAACTCGATGATTGTTGACCTTTACAATATACTTCCTGCAACACTAAAGCATGAAAATCAATCGACATTTAAAAACTCTCTCAAAGTGCTATTACAGGAAAAATGCTACTACAGTATTGCTGAGTATATGGCTGACCCACCCAGGATGTGATTTGAAAAACTGAAACACATATATTTATGCTCCAATACTCATGTTATATGTCCCAATAATTATTGTGTCTACTATATGTGTATGATATGTTGTAATGTACACATATTATTTTATTTTACTATCATTGTTATTTTATTTATTTAGTGAATATTGTACTGTACTTTTTGTACTACTACTTGCTACCTGACTTGCTACAAATGTTTTATACATCACGTAGTTAAATAAAGATCTATCTATCTATCTATCTATCTATCTATCTATCTATCTATCTATCTATCTATCTATCTATCTATCTATGTCACAAGACGTTATAATACGATTACGCAATTCCTCCACATTATCGATTGGATCTCTATAAACTAGTGATTTAAGGTGTCCCCACAAAAAAAATCCAGCGGATTCAAGTCGGGAGACCGTGGGGGCCAAGGGTTAATACCTCCCCGAACTATCCAACGATTTGGATACGTAATATCCAAATACTGCCGAGCCACTGAACTAAAATGGGCTGGAGCACCGTCATGTAAAAAAAACATTTGCTGTCTCAGCTGAATGGGGACATCTTCTAGCATCACTGGTAATTCATTTTCAAGAAATTCTTGATACACTTGTCCAGTCAACCTTGCTGGCAAAAAAAATGGACCGATGAGAAAGTTTTCAATAATGCCGACCCATACATTAAGTGAAAACTGGTGCTGATGACGGTTTTCTGCCACAGCATGTGGGTTCTCATAATGCCATATGTGGTTTTTGTGGAAGTTCATAATTGCGTCCCTGGAGAAATTAGCCTCATCGGTGAAAAGTATTTTTCTTATAAACGGTGCATCTTGCCTTATGCGTTCTTGCATCCAACGACACAAAGCCGTTCTTTTCGGAAAATCGCCTGGCAAAAGTGCCTGCACCCGCTGAATATGATACGGGTATAAAAGGTATCTTTTAAGAATATTCCAAACTGTAAAGTTACTAATGTGTACCGTCTGAGCAATTTTCCTAGTGCTTGTGGTGGGATCTTCCTCGAATTCATTGAGCACCTATTCTTCAATTTGAGGAGTAACTATTCGGGGATGTCCGTTTTCAGCGGTGAGTTTTTTGAAGCTGCCGGTTTCACTTAGACGTTGGTGTAAACGCGTAAACATGGAGTGATGAGGAATAACACGATTCGGGTAACGTTCAGCATAAATACGCAAGGCTTCTCGTGCGTTTCCGTTAGCCAGTCCATAAAATGAAGTGCATATCACACATTTCATTATTTGTGTAATTGTTAGCCATTTTTTAACAAATCAATCTTGTCAACTTGTACTTAAATTTTTTTCTTTGACATTAATTTTGACGTCTCAAACAAGAATGTGATTATCGTTGCGGCGGCGTTGTCCGTAGTTACGTTAAAAAAAATTATGTTCACAGGCTACTTCGCGATTTTGGAAGCGTGAAATATTAATACGTTACTCATATGTCACTTTTTTAACATGTTAAATAAAGTGACATATTATGAACTACAATGAAATTTTGAATAAAATTTAAAAAAAACTCACTTTTTATAACGATCATAGAAAAAATAAATTTTAGCGATCAGTCAAAGTAGATGTTTTTTAATTATTTGTGCGCAAACCGTGCATCTAACGGACAAAGTCCAAGGGATCAAGAATGTTGCAAATGAAACGGAGAATTTAAAAATATTTTTTAGAAGAAGAAAAACCAGTGGCGTACCATTTTTCTTTATAAATGTATTCAGCGGAAAACCCGCACACACGCCACTGGAGAACATAAAAATGTTAAAAGTATGTTGGTAGATGGCTCTGGATACACAGACCCTGCATACCAATCTTTAGACAAATATCTACAGGGGTATTTAAGTTATCGAAAAAAAATCATTGTTTTGTTAAAACTTTACCACCCTGTAGCTCAAAATCTAAAAGGTTTAGGACCTATGTTTATAGACACTTTTTTGCGAATTTTTGTCCAAAGAACACGTTCCTGAATTTTGTCGCAATATATAAAAAACACCCTGTATATATCACAAACTCAAATCTAAAGAAAAATAAAATACATATTCAAGTAGACATATTGAAAGTACTTCAAAAAATAAAACTATAGTATACCTATATATATATATAAAACAAACACAAAAGAAACATAAAATACATAATATTCAAGTAGACATATTTTGAAAGTGATTTAAAAAATGATATACCAAAAAACAAAAAAATAGTGACAAAGTGAGATGAAGGCTTTACTGTTTGAATTAGAAAAAAAAATTCGAGATGGTCTTCTCTCATGAGCAGCACATTTTTTATATATTTTACAAGATATACAAGGTGACTCAAAAATGCTTGAAGTTGGTTGGTCTACCCTGTATATCACAATCTCAAAACAGAAGTTATAAAATACACATTCAAGTAGCTTTACTCTTGATTCGGTCTCTTGCTCTACGCAGCCACATTGCCAAAGCCCTTTCAGCTTCTTTGGTGTCGACGTTTTTAGCTTTAATGATAGCTTCTGAAAACAAAGCAATGAAAAGCTTACTCAACAAAAAATGACTGTATTGATGAAGGGAATAATGAGAAATGAAAATAGCTGAATTGAATTCACAATATGAATACACCTAGCTTGCAACTTACTCATTATCAAATTAGCTACTCTTAGGTCATGGAAGGGTTTTTTCTCTCTTCGTCCCAGCCAACTGAAATTGTGTGCCAAATTGTTAGTAAACAACCTGCCCATGCATCTTCTGACAAATTCATACAGACTGTTCCCTCCAGTCATAGATAATTCTTTAACCTGTAAAATGAAAGCTTTATTTTATAAAAACTTTTAGAAAATGTTGAATGACATCATTATTTCATCATTTTGAATTGAGTATATAGATGAACAACAACAAAGAATTCATATTAAAAAAGGTTGAAACTCCTCACCGCTTCACGGAATGATTCCTCATTTTGTTAAAATGAATTGAGTTCCTCTAAATCTCTCTCATTTATTTATAGGTAGGGTAAATTTTGAGAATATGGATTCCAGCATAGTTTCTGATTCGGGTTGCTTCTTAGAAAATGTATCAGCCAAATCTTCCACTGCATTTTTTAAATACCGAACTTGTCTCACCAGCTCCTTAATATATTCCCCTGTAAAACAGCTGTATAATATTAGGTTTTCCTTCATAATCACAATTATGTCAGTATTACCATGAATGGAACAGCATATGTACATCCTGTATTTCTTCCTAAAACATTAATGTAATCAATGAACCCATCACCAAATATTATAGTATGTATCTATGCAGTATCTCTGAATGAAACTGATTTGAGAAAGAGCAATATTGAACACAAGTTATTTTTATGAATAGTAATACAGTAAAAAGTACATATTTCATACCTGAAGTATTCTCAACAGAACTAGGCATAGATGACAAATATGGTGGAATATTTGATGAATTGTCACCAAATATTTCAGAATTATTCCATCTTTTACTGCCAGTCAAAGAATTACTGAAATTAGAATCCAAGTCATCTTGTTGTCTGCTGGAGATGTTCTCTGGAACAAAAATTAGGACATAGTATGTTCAAGAAGATTCCTACAAGCACAACCTTATTTTTTAATCAAATAAAAACGAACCTATTCGATTTTTTTTAGTATTGATCATTTTTGGTGCACTTGGTATGATGGTGGTATCACTATCTTCATCTGATGAACTTATTATTTTTTTACGTGTTCTCCTAGCTGGCCTAACATTAGAAATCTCATCTGCTTCAGAGTTTAGATCGCTTGTATCTTCTGCTATTTTGGCCTTTCCTCTTACCGTTTCATAGTTGTCTAAAAATTTGTAGGGATATGATAGGCATATATTTCAGTTTTGTAATCAGTAGGTCTTACCATAAGTAGCATTACGAAACATATCCACTTTATATGATGGCCAGCATGTGTTAAAATCTTGTGATTTTATTGCCACCGATACTTTTTGAGGCGTAAAGGGTGGCCAGAAGCACATATCATTATTTATCCAGGTTGTTGGAACTGCAGCGACCGAATGGTCCTGAAGAAATTTTACAATTGTCCATGTACGATTTTCGGCTTCCATTTTCAAAGTTTTATTGCATTTAGACTGAAATAAATATGTGAATCCACTAACAAATAGGAAACTGAAGTACCTTCAGATCGAGCTTCAGATGTTAGAAGGTATATATATAAAATATTATGTATCCTTCTAGATGAGCACTATTCTGAAAAATCACTATATAGTCATAATACATAATGGAACATTTTACTTTCATTTATAGACAGCATAGCAATTAGAACACACTGTCATTATGATCATTCCGGATTATTCAGGTACCCCAGTATGAAAATAATAGGAATTTTCCATTAGAAATAATATCTGTTCGAATAAATAACCGCGTTTGTGAATAAACCTTGCAATGTTAGTGTAGGCCTAAAAATTGCAAAGAATCCTGAAAGAGGAGTTCATAAAGTATTGTCAACGACGATTATTTGATACAAATTTGCCTAACCTCACTACCACTTATTTATTTTTTGATAATATTACATTTTTATTCCATTTATACATTGACATTCAATTTTTTTAATTAAGAATAATAACAAAATAATTGCTTTCAATACCCACTATGCAAAAGTGGAAAAACAACAAATTTATCATTGAATGTAAGTTTCACAAATTTATAAGCAATCTGAGAAACATTCCACCATTCCAAAGGACCTTCGCTACTCACTAACAATATGTCCAATTCTGAAGAAGTGCAAGGTGTCTGATAAAAACAATTTTTTTCCAAATATTCTCTGCCAATAATAATGGTTTGTTTATCATTTGTCTCTAGAAAATTTTCAATAGATATTACAGCACCATTAAGTAAACAACAACAATTATTAGATCCACTCAGTTTTAGGATATAATGTTCAAAAATTAGTTCAGAATATTCAGATTTGATAGATATATTGGGAATTATAGGTCCTTTGCAATGAGGTTTTGTTAATTGGGAAAATCTTGTCTCAACATGTCCTGTTTGTTTGAATAAAAGTGTGGCATCTAGTTCTCCTTTCCTGTTTATAAGTTGTTGGAGAGGTTTCTCATGTTTCCTCAGATTTTTTTTCAAAACTTGCATATAATTTTCAAATTGAAAAGCACTAAAATTATCTAATGGTCCAAATTCACATCATCAGTTATATGTATTAAATTATGAACATTATGGGACACATCTTCTTTTCCATATAAAATAATAAATGTTTCTATAAAATATTTTAACAAATTTTCTGCATATTCTAAGTGTTGAAAATGTTTGGAAGAAGATAAAATGGTAACTGCTATATGTAAGCACAGGAAGTTGATGTATCTATCCTTGGATAAAATATTTTTTAAAACTAATGGTCCAGTATACCGGGTGGTTCATTCAAGACTATCCACCCTCGATATCTCCCAGAATGATTATTCAACAAAAAAATGACGAAACAGGTCGATTTTTATTTGGAGGGGGACACATTTTGAGGCAAAATAAATGATCCATACTTCAACCCTCTACTCTCCAGAGCAACCCCCTCAATAATTTGAATAGGGAATAAGGGTCGTGTTATACATCATTGGAAAGGTGATTTAATTCGGAAACTAGCAGTGCAACGTTTTTTGAATTCCAACAACTCGTTCTCGAGATATTTGCTTTCGAGTGGTATGTTTTATAATTGTGAGTAATTGAATGTACGGAATGAATTAATGAATGGTCATCTACAACAAATGTTCAAAATCACCTACATTGACTTCCAGACAGTGGAAGAATCTATTTGTAAATTCCTTTCGCAAATTTGAAATATTTCTCTAGTTATTGTCAGGCATTCAACCCTAATTCATTTTTCTTATCGTCCAGATCAGTAGATTCCGGTTCATAAATAACGGATTTTGGTTGACCCCAAAGGAAACAATCATTGGACACCATGTCCGGCGAGCGTGCTGGCCATTTTATTGATCCTTCACGACCTATTCATTTGTTTGTGAAATTTTGGGGTAGCCATTCATTCACGTGTGATACGGGAGGTGACACATATCTTGTTGAAACTAAATATTATCTGCCAATAGATTTCGACTACCATCATCATAAAGGTCCGTAGCGGACCATTAGAATAGACAGCAATCTGCCGGCTTGGCACCCAATGATTTCCTTTTACGAAGTAATTTGAAATCCCTTATCTATACAACGAAACCCACTGACCTGAACGATGTGGAAAGAAGAATAAGGATCGAATGCCAGATGAATATCTTCAAATGTTTAAGAGAAAGAATGTGAACCTTGTTGGTTGCCTAAAGTATCTACTGACGGATATCTACCGATTTTCAAACCTAAATTATTTGCTCACCGAGTACACGTGTTCGTTTTTTTTTGCCAACATGATTGAAATCGGTGAAAAACTTATCTTCCGACAATTTTTTTCTGAATTTGTGAATTCAGTGTTGAAACGAGAAATGACCACGCATTTCGAGAATTTTACTTCTATCACGATGGTTTACACGAAAGACGAGAAAGTTGAAATAATTTTTATTTTTGCTGTTCAAAATGAGTGTGCACGAGCAACAGCTCGAATTTTCAATGAGCAGCACGAAAATAGAAACGTAACTCACAAGTGAGTATCAGAAATACAATTTGTGGGAAATATGATGAATATGAAGAAATTGATGTATTGAAAGAAATACGGTGAGAATTCGCATTATCTTTGTGATGAAAGTATTGATTCTCTCTCGGTATATTCAACAGAAAGCAACTACTTTCCCGACTACTTATATGCCACGACGAACATTGAATTTGAACACACACGATAAGAATTTGAAGAATAAAAAATAAATAAAACCGTCTGATGTTGAGAGTTAGTATTCTCTTTCAGATAAAATATCATGGAACATACATATCATCATTCTGAATATACCGAGAGAGAATCAATACTTTCATAACAAAGAGAATGCGAATTCTCACTGTATTTTTTTCAATACTCCATTTTTTTCTATTCATAATATATCTGATTATCTCAAAAAGAATGTGAATAATCCTTTTTTCATTTTAGATATATCTTGGATCTTGTAGCGAAATTTCGGGAGACTGGATCAGTTGCCAATAAGAAGAGGAATAGGATGCATCCTGTCACAAATGAAATCAACCAAGTAGAAGTTTTAGGACAGGTTGCAGTAAATCCTACAATGTCTACTCGACAACTAAGTAGCATCACAGGAATATCCAGAATTTCTATAATGAGGATGCTGAAACAGCACAAATTTCATCCTTATAAGTTGAATCTTCACCAAGCATTAAATGAGGATGACTATGATAGACGATCTGAATTTTGCGAAAATATCACGACAATGATACAGAGGAACCACGGATTCATTAAGCATATTTGCTTTAGTGACGAGTGTTCATTTCATTTGAACGGTTTAGTTAACAGACACAACTGTCGTTATTGGAGTCAGAATAACCCTCATCTACTGAGATAAGAGCACACACAATGGCCCCAGAAGTTGAATGTGTGGGCAGGGATTTTGGGTAATACAATCATTGGACCAATATTTATCCAGGGTGATTTGAATGGTATGGCCTACTTGGATATGCTTCAGAATTTAATCGAACCACTTATTATGGATGCTGTCAACACTGACCTCGATGATGATGGTAATCCAAATCTATTAGCAGAAAATATTTTTTTTCAACTGGATGGTGCTCCACCTCATTACATATTGCAGGTGAGAGAATGGCTATCCCAGAATTTTCCAGACAAATGGATTGGTCGTAGAGGACCAATAGAATGGCCAGCACGCTCACCGGACTTGGCACCCAATGATTTTTTCCTATGGGGTCATTTAAAATCGGTAATTTATAAAACGGAACCTACTGACCTCGATGATTTGGAGAGAAGAATAAGAACTGAATACCAGGCAATATCAAGAGAAACATTCTCAAATGTACAAGAGGAATTTTCAAATAGACTCTACCACTGTCTGGGAGTCAATGGAGGTCATTTTGAACACTTGTTGTGAATACCTGTTCAATAAAATCTATTTTGTACATACATTTACTCACAATTAAAAAACATACCATTCGAACTCGAATATCTCGAGAACAAGTTGTTGGAATTCAAAAAACTTTGCACTGCTAGTTTCCGAATTAAATTACCTTTCCAATGATGTATAACACGACCCTTATTCCCTATTCAAATTATTGAGGGGGTTGATCTGGAGAGTAGAGGGTTGAAGTATGGATCATTTATTTTGCCTCAAAATGTGTCCCCCTCCAAATAAAAATCGACCTGTTTCGTCATTTTTTTGTTGAATAATTATTCTGGGAGATATCTAGGGTGGATAGTCTTGAATGGACCACCCGGTATAATAAAAATTGACGAAACTCAGAGGCTTTATTCCACCTTTTACATTCACTGAGGTTACGTGGTTTTCGATTAAATTCAACAGGAATATCAGAAGCTTGATTGGTTAATAAGGTAGAAATTGTGGATAATTGATTTTGTGACAGTTTTGTTGTTGGTTCACCACAAGACCATGAAGAAACGATTATTTTTTCATGACACCTAAACAAATTAGATGCATATAATCTAGTGGAAAAGATTTGATCATATCTATTTCAGGAATGTTCTCTATGACTGAAGTACCAATATGATGCTCTTCCTGTGCTTTTTCTCTGAAATCTACATCTGTACGTAGCAGGAGATTTGTTGTCTGTGGAAAACATAGTCTATCGATATAAATTCCCTCTGTATGACATTTCGGACATGACATATATCCAGAATGACCTTTCGTATATGTGATATAGGACTTTGCAGGAGTATCGCAGATGAAGCCTTTGATTCTAATTGGATATAACTGTTCCTTGTAAGACAAACCATTATTCACTAAATGTATGGATTTATTTACAAATTCTTCTAAAAAACTATTAGGATCTTTTGGTTTTTCATACCCATGATAAACCCCAGCAACATCTACATAATTCTTATTCTCATAAAGACTACATTGTAGCAGTATCATCAGATGCTAACCGGACGTTGAAGGGGTTAGCCACCGCGAGAGATATAGAGCGTGCGGCCGGCAGCCTAGACACTCCGCAAGCAATAAGAACAACACCAATTTGCCACTCGTCGAATTTATCTTTTATGTACCTTTTTAACAAGTTTTGTAGTAAAT